TGCTAAACCATCACTAAACCTACATCATCTGTCCTTAAGTATCCTAGCAGAAAGGAAGCCAGGAGACCAAGGGGCTTCCTGGCTGAGCAAGTGGATCTAGGAAATTAGAGAGAGAGGAAAAAAGCAATTTTAAGAGAAAAATCCTCATTTACCTCCTAGAAATTCTGCCACAACAATATTAAGAATAGCAGTAAAACGTGGTTTTAGGACTATAGGCTTATTTTATCATTCAAAAGTAATGCCAGATATGTTTTAGAGATGATCATACAAGCTGTAAGTAGACAGAGAACAGTCATACAGACTGTGAGGTATTTCTTTTCAGATGTCTATTTCACATTGTCAGTCTTGGTAATGTTCACCAGTTCTTTGTTTTCTTTGTTCTGCATTTTGATCAGGGCAAATAGATGTAACCCAATGTACTGCCCAGTAAACAGGCAGTGCCACTGTGTAGATCAGGTATGACAGGAAAACCTGGAGACTGAGGTTGGTGAATTATCTGGAGGTGAAGAAAACATGAACTGTTGTGCCAAACAGTTCTTGTAACCCAGAGGACTCAATTTCTCTCTTTAAAATCCCTCTGAACACGTTGCCCTCTTAACTTCTGCTTCTAGAAACATCTAGTATTCTCTGAAATGCATGTTTTGAATGGAACATCTTCAGAAAAGGCTCCCACTAGACCTAGACCTACCTTGCAGATATTTTGAGAGGTAATTTAGTAGTACACCAGTAGGTTGATATTCAACTTTTTTTTTTTTAGAATCATATTTAATATCTCCCATCATTACCTCTAGCAAGGATCCCAGCCTTGACATCTTTGTAAGTTGTTGTTTTTGTGCAGCCCACCCTACATTACTGCAGTATGCTCTCAGGCTCACATTTGTCAGAAAGCTACATTACCAGCCTCCAACGAACAGAATATATTCATACACTAATCCTGGGACTGCACCAGCTATTGTACAGAGCAAATCAACTCTGGGGACCTCCCAGCCACTGGTTTTGACGTCTGTCCAGCTGCTCCCACCTCAGCAGCTGCAAGCCTGGATTGCTTACTCAGGACCATACACAAAGTGAAGGAGTCCAAGCACATCTTGTTGAAGAGACTTGGAAATTGTTGCTGTCTTAGGATCCTCAGTTTGCAGTGTGCTTTTAGAAGAAGGTTTGGCTTTTCTGAAGTTACTCCGAAGTTGGTAGAAATAATATTAGAGTATAAAGAGGTAAAAATAGCATGATGACTTCAAGATGTGGCTGCTGGTATCATGAATAGTCACATCTTAAACACTACTGTAGCAGTATTAATTGAAACAGAAAACTACAAAAAATACATCATACTTTAACAAGGATGAGCCTGCCATGTCACAGACTAGTTCTCTGGATCTGCCCTCTACACAGAGATTTATGATATGGAAATGCTCAAAACGGAAGGAAAAGAAAGTCAGTTCTCATTCTGTAAAATTATGACCATCTGTGCCTCACCCACCCTCACACAGCTTTATTAACCTGCTCAGGAAAAGCAGCAGCAAACAACAGGCAGTGAAGTTCAAACACTGGTTGTGATTTCGGCACAAGAGGAGATGAGGAGACCCTCAGCAACAGGGGGAGTGAGGAGTGTAACATATTTCTCTATCAGAGAGGTTTCCATCACAGTCCACATGACAAAAAGTAGTTGCCCTCTTCAAGGCCACGTCATGCTTTATGTGCAAAACAGTGTGGAGATGTGCCAAAGAGCAGAAGCAACTTGAAGTTTAAAAAATGAGAAGCAACTAAACAAAGAGCCTCTGCTTTTCTAAATCGTGCTTGCCAAAACCAGCACTTTACAAACTACTGGAGGCAATGTAGAACTGCCTCTTTTTTTATACCTCACCAATAGCACATTAGTCTTCTTTGTGCTTGGTAAAAATGACCAAGAAAAGCACAGATGTAACCATAATGCTCATAGTCAGCATGACTCTGCTTAAGACATTTGTATCCAAAACCTCCAACAGAGGCAGTAGCCCTAGAGCAAACAGGGAAGAATTAGAAACGGGAAGAATTCCTGCTATGTGTCATTTTAACAACCTCTCAAGTTCTGTCAGTTGTGATAAAACTAGCAAAAATGGGGCCTTTGTCATCTGATTTGGAACTCTGGGTGTTTTCAAGGAGCTCTGGGTTACAATCCTACTGAGGACTTTCTGGAATCTGTGTGATAAGGCATGGGAGTTGCTGTGTTCACCCGCCTCTTTCTGGGCTCTTAGCTCCCCAGGCTGAGTGCTGTAACAGCCTTAGAATGTGCCCTGTTCCACGTGAGCAGAGCACGTTGCTTTCCAGCACACCTTCACCTCTCCAGCTTCACTTACCCAGCTTCACAGGGCCAGTGCTCCAAACACTCCGAGCAGAATACAAGTTTGGCTGGCATCAATTTAGCAATTTGCAATTTTTCTCCCAAGCACTTTCGAATCAACTTTTACATAGGCTCATGTGCTGCTGAAAACACTCTAAGGAACGTACTGCTGCTTATGTAAGTATTAGGTCCATTCGTCACAAAGTGAGTAGAGGCACACAAAACACTGGCACAGACTGAATGCTAAGAGAGACACTCAAGCTTCCAGTATTTTGAGGTCTCGCTCTGGAGTTTTAAGCATAGTTATTTCTCAGTCATTGGTCTGAAATACAGTTCCCTTAGATTTTCTCCAGCTGCCTTCTTTTCGCTTTGCCTTGCCTTATCCTCTAGACATATTTAAATTTTCCTTTGTTTGGAATCTACATTTTTTCACGCCCCGAAATTATAGCCTTTGCAACGTGCAATGCTGTAGAAAGTCCCTTCATTGAAAGAGCAGAACACGGTACAATTTTAGAATCATATAATTTCCAGCATAATTGTTAAATCATTTTCTTCCTTTTCTCCCTCCCCCTCTTTTTTTTTTTTTTCCCCCTCCGAAGGGAAAGAAAGATTCAAAGTGCACATCCAGAGGGAAAGAATGAGACAGACAGAAAACTTAACAACTTCGTAATACCATGCTACACTGCACCTCACATTTACTGAAACAACAGCCCTGCATCAATGACAGGACTCCCTGTCTACTGCTTCAGTCACTCAGCGCTGGACTCCATCCTTTGCAAGGTACTACTGGTTCACAAATGCAACCTTCCTCGTGTGTTTGTGACATTGTGTTCCCAAATATCACATCATAAAAATGTTAAAATAAAGCTGTTCATAACATTTTCCTGTGCACCATCTGGGCCTTGCAAGAAAGCTGACATTATCTGTCAAACTGAAGATAACCACATTTTCTCTCTTTTGTATCGTTAATGTTTGTCATTGCAAATTTCACTTTAATGCTCCGATTACATTATGACATTCTTACAAACTGAATGGCACTAATGACTTTCATTATTATTTACACACTTCCTTAATTATAAGGCTCTCCCTCTCATTCACAACATGTTCTCCCTCATAACGCTCCGATATAAAGCTAATGAATTTTAAACTTTCTATTACATAAAAGCTCGTGATTAATTACCCAGCTTCCTGGTCTCTTTATGAGGCACAATGCAGGCCTCTCCTGTGGTGTTGCAGCAAAGGGGAATAAGTATGCAACTTTTATTCCCTCCTCGGTGAAAGCAAATAGAGAGATAAATAGAGTAGCTTTCTCTTTAAATCAATTTAACTGCAAACAAATATACATCAAACCATTCCTCAGGAGAAATCTAAATCTCTCCATATTAGCGACACGTAGTAAACAGGATAATAATGCCTATTATTATCACCTTTAATTTTTCATGACAACAGTTTTTTAATCTGGTTCAAGTAAATGAGACAGTAGAAGTAAAAACAGGTGGCTTTTACATAAGACAGCTGAGTGTTATATGCTGTATCGCCAAGATCAACTAGTTATGTGTTTTTAATTATTTAAAATACTGGACTCCTTCACTGATAAAAAAGACAAGACAAAAGCCCAAGGTTGCTCCACACCAAATGAAGGGCAGTTGTGACAAATATAAATTACTGCACTTTACACTGACAAAGGTAATAGAATAAACCAGAGCCTAGAAGACTTTGAAAGACACTGGGGGGGCACTGAGCAGCCTAGCAATGAAATTCAGAGCTCAGTACTTAGACTGCAGCCTGTACCAGTGCCTGCACAAGCTGCATGTGTCTCAGTGCCTGTGCTGCCAACAGCAATTGGATTCTTGCAGACAAATTTAAATTTGCTGTCAGCCAAGGGGAAAAAAATGGGTTAATTAAAGTATAGCTATTCCCATCCCATTTGCTTGCTGGAAACTTGACCTTAAGATTATCGAGTACCTGTGCATATGAAAAAGTTATTTCCTGCCAACCCAAGGGGAGTTTCCTTTTATGCCTCTCTCCTGTTAGTAAAGAAGGGAGCCAATATCTATGCAAATATACACATAATTCGAATATGAGCATAGTCCCAGTTGGGACTAAAGCACATCCTGTCCTGACTGAATCAATGCCTGGCTAGGTATAAATGGCACGCTCACTGACACCAAGCAAGGGGACACTTAGTAAGAAGAAGATTGATTTGCCAAAGCAGTTTACTTACATATTACCTTTATTTTAACTCCTACTTCTGATGTAACAGATAAGAAAATTGGGCTTGTTGTGAAAAAAGCTCCTTCAGCTTGTTGTTGTTTTTTTTTTTTTTTTTTTAATACTGTAAATTTCTAATCACTTGCCAGTACCACAGACCAAATTAAAATAAATAATTCCCTGAAGGTTCAGTATAATGGAGTGGCCTTTGCGAGGACTCTACTTTGGTCTGCTTTCAAACACCTCTTGATTCGTATGGCAACTATGCAGTCCTAGAGAGCAAACAACTTAAAAGGAAAGTTTCCGAGGGCCTACTTCATGGCTCAGAGAGTAGGTTGTATGATAATCCTGCTATCTCCAGTTAAGATCACATTCCAAGTCTGCTACTTATCAGAATTTGAGTCGTGTAAACTCTGAAACTCTCTAGCATCAGAGGATGTCTTGCAGTTTAAAACAATAACAACCACCATCATCGCCTTAAAGGAATGAGAAATCCATCCTTCCATTCTCTTTAATATTATCTCATCTTTTACATTCAGACACGTGCGACATTTTGGACAGAGCCTGTTAAGCTTTCACAAGGGGTCTGATTATACTCTTCAATCATATTTTTGTGCCCATCGAGAAATGTCAGAACAATTGAGAGTCAACTGAATGCATGTACACAAAAAAACCTTTGAATGGGATAAGAAAAGCCTAAGATGCTGTTGAAAGATTGGTTTGTGACCTTAATTTCTGTTTTACTTGTTGATAGTTTACATGGTAGATGAGCTTCCTTGAAATACAATTAGATAATGAACCTCAGTCAACATCTCTCCATGTAAGACAGTTTTTCTGTTAGACATATTCCTCCAGAATGCATTTGCCAGTATTATCTAGAAATAATTGTACTCTAAAGAAAATGATGGAGTCCTTGGACTGCTTAATGTACTTCACTGTTAACAGCAATTAAAGAAGAAATGAGACATCACAGAGCAAGATACAAACATAATAAACCAGCTGAGCCAATCCTCGCACAAAGATATAAAGACTACTAGAGAAGGATGATAATTATATCAGAAGAGTTAAAATTAGTTGCAGCTTTACAAGTAGTGTAAGGGTTTGAGGTTACAATCCTAATGCTTACTTCTAAGGCAGAGCAAGCTTACAGTCCTTATAGTATGACAAGTAAAACACAAGCATACCTTACCATGGCATTAACCTTATACTATATAGTTATTCACAGTAATTTTGTTTACTGTAACTGTTATGCTTGGAAATTCTGTTTAAGACAGTGAAATATGCTTACATCACAACATTCTCTTGAAAAGGAATTAGATGCAGATCTTCTGAGATCCCTCATGAAGAAGATGAGGTTTATTAAACAATTTGAAAGTGAGATAGGCATGATGGGCAGGAGCCTTGTTACATATCTGTGACTCTACAGGGGGGCTTGTGATGTACTGATTTGATGGTCACATGAAGCGTGGAACTTCTTTTTGTCTCATCTCTTCTCTGAATGTTCTGAGAGCTTTATAGCTCACCTGTAAATGACAGAGAGAGAAGTGCTATATACTCATAGGGGCATGGCGGAGAGAAAGGTGAGATGCCATTACAAGAAGTAATTAGTGGCAGTGGGAAGTTATCTGCTGCAGCTTGTTCTTGCAATTGATTTTGTTGTTACATGCTATGAGATCTCCACAGCTCAAGAAAGATGAGCCATGCATCACCTGAGATAGCTGCATGTGAAGCAACATCATTAAGCAGGAGTTACGTCTTGCCTTCAAATATCAAGGCTCTCATCCTGATTCTGCCTTTAATTTAGTACATAACTTTGAGCAATTCAACCCATTCCCCGATGCCACTGATTATCCTTCACACCTGTTTCTTCTGATCTTTCCTGTGGCTACTGTAATTCTAGGTAAAGTATCCATCACTGAAAGTTTACATAATGGCAGTCTGCAAAAATAAAGCATCCTACGTCCTAGTCTGAAAATAGCCTCATTGAAGACGACAAGAATCTTACATTGATCACAGCAGCAATCTCAGTTGCCAATAATATCATCTGTATGTATTCTTCTGAAATGCTTGGTATCGATCAACACAGTTTTTAAAAGCACAAACAATAAATTATTCATTTTGATTTATAAAGCAGTTAATATTTATCACAGACAGAGCACTTCTATACAAAATCAGAAAAAAAAAAAGCCAAGAATAAACCAGATCAGATTTTCCCTGTATTATAACTGTAATTACTTTCCCATACATATAAACCAAAGTGGGAATCTCTTTCCTGAAATACCTAAGAAAAGAGACGAGCCTCACAGACCAAGAAAACCATCGAAACCCATTAAAGAAAGTGCCTTCAAGGAAAACATCTCACTAGCAGCTTCCCTGCGCTAAAGGCAAAAGCACCCCTGACTGTTTCTAATGCAAGTCCATTGGACAAATGCTAGTAAATCTGTAGGAGTAAAATTACAATTACAATTTACAAATTAAAATTTTTGATGGAACTGCACATCACTCGAGGACCTAGATGAATTTGTTTCTGGGCAAATCCAGACAGACACAGACATTTGGAAATACTGCAGATAAGGCTTTTAGGTTATTATACCCTGCTACGAAGAGAAGCACACACTCAAGAGATGAATTTTGGAAAAAAATAATGTGTTGCATTATCTTAGCTGCAAAATCTTAGCTGTACAATTAATTACTTCTTGTGTGAATAATTCTTTACTGTTCATACAATGCTTGCATTTTTCATGTCCTGCTTTTCTTCTGCCAAGAGCTGGCATCTTACAAGATTGACTGCAGGGATGGGGCAGGTACCCAGCTTTGCATACTTGAGCATTTCAGCCAAAATCAGTGCGCTTATTTCCAAAACAGCAGCAGGAGGATCATAACGTGGCCACCGCAACCTCCTAAATAGCAGAGCCCTTTCCTTCTAACTTCTGTACTGTTACAGCTGGAAGTATCATCATGGTGAAAATGGAAAAGAATCAAACAGCATCACCCGTATCTAAAGATCTAGGTTTGTAGGAAAGTTTCCATAGAGAAAACTCCAAAAGAAGGGATCTCCAGCAAGAAACCCTTCCCCAGTGGCAGTCAGCCCTAAATGGGGTCTAGGAGAGGTGCAGCCAGGCTCCACCCCTTCGGTCACACAGATGAATCGCCTCCACCTGTGCTGCATGGCTGACTCAGTGCTTGCCTCAGGTGAGCAGTCAGTGGTTCAGGCTGTGACTCAACACTTCCCATACATGTACCCAACAACTTTTTCTAAGGTGACATTTCTCCAGCATCCCCTATAGGTTTTATGACAGCTTCTCTGCTGTGTTTTGATTTTGCTCCTCAGCAAACGTGGTAGTTGGTAAATCCAAACATCCATTTGGGAAAATGAGCAGAATTAATCAATGTTTCAGTGCAAGTCTTCTCTGTGCCTGTAAAAAAGGTAGCCAACAGCTGCCATGTCTACATCTCTAGAAGATGCTCTGCTTAAAGAGAAAATCAGATTTTCCAGTGATGCTGGACTTCACTCACGAAGCATTAGGGCAGCACGCCTTGTAGACCCTCAAGATTCATGTTTTGTACTTTCTGCTTCTTCTTTATCATCAAGCATAAAGCTGTGCTTTACCTCTAAAAAAAATTAGAAGCTCTGTCAGACTCTATTTGCCCTTCCATTCCTTCATGTTCCCATCCTGTGCCCCATGCACCCCTCCTTTCTCCTTTTGCTTCTCCCTCTCTCCATATTCATGCCGGAGGATATACCACAATGAGGTTCTCTAATCAATCGTCTGACTCATTGCCTTATGGTAGAATATTGCCATGGCTAATGACTAATATGACTGCAGGATTTCCAAATGTCATCTTATCGGATCTTACAGATTGCCTGTTAACTATTTCTTAGCCTTACCGGGATTAGTAGAGTAGTAAAATAAAGCAATATGATTTAGCACAGTAAACTCATTTCTTAGCAGCTGATTTCTAATTATAGGTGGAGCCCAAAATAAGACAGCATAGGACGTTATATTTCCTAACTGAAAAACAAACCGTTTGCAAGCAGCTTTTCTTTATGATACTCAAAAAGTTCATCCACACAATGAAAAGCAAAAGAAATAGAGGATGAATCTAATTCTTGAGAGATGGCAATTGATATTTACATTCATACTGTGATTCACTAGAAAAGAAATGTGTGAAGCTCCCAAAGCAAACAAATACTGTTAGATGCATTTTGTTTGTTGATTTTTGTTCATGCATACCAAACATTTTTTCTTCCACATTACAGTCTTTTGGGGAGAAAAGGAGTCACAAAGCACATTTTCTCTCTGCAACTCCTGCATCCCTGCAACTGAAGCTAATATTTTTCTTTTGAGTTAAATGCATTTATTTGATGGTGGCGACTTAGACTGATGTGAAAACAACATACTTTGAATACTGAGACTTTTCCACACTGATAAGGAATTAATCCAAAAAGCAGTAACAGTGATCACAAGGAGAACTGCAGATGAATTTAAAAACTGACAATACACAGACAATGCTGGGCTGAAATCCTAATAGCTTCTAAACACATCTAGCATTATTTGGACACATATATTATTTCTGTTTTTCTTTCCTTACCACACTCAATTGCATAGTATGGAACCGCAGACATTCTCACTCTTCTGCATTTTCCAATTCCTACACTGTCATGAACAAAGAACTTGCTAATCAGAGGATTTTGGTACTTCCTCTGGGCAATCAGCTGTTACATTCCTGCAGTTGGACCATTTCTGAAAGCACAATTATATTCTACTAGTTCTCCTGAACATAACCAATTCCAACATTTCCCAGGTATCACTTTACAAATACACGTTGATACCTTCTTGATCAACTCATCACCTCTCCACCGAAGATGAAATGACATTGATGTGAAACAAACACCCTCAGAGCATTAATGAAAGGGGTGAAGGGCTTGGGAGTGTTAGTTCTTTACTGCTGAGTGAATTAACAAGCTGTATTGTCTGCAGTGCAAAAGAATAGAGCCTGTAGCTAAAGGAGACAGCGTCAAAATGGGAAGGGTACTGTAAAGATTAGCCTGTTAGAAAACTAATGAATAATGTCACACGACCTTAAACTTGCTCATCTCATTGAGACAGCTTGTTAGATCATCAGATTGCCCAGCTGAGAAACCTGCTTCCATTGCTGCTGTGCTTGTGGTGTCAAACCCAATTACTGTTTCTTCAGATGACTTTTCATTCATCAGAGATGGAAATGCAACTGGAAAAAAAAAAAACAAAAACAAATTCCAGGGAGCTGGATTTGTTTCCCTTTCACTACTAGGGCTTTCTCTGTACTTGAGTACCACAAACAGAAGAAACACACAAGAAAGGTGCTAGTGACACCCGCAGCTCTGTCCCTTTCCCACAGCCCTGCAGACTCTAGCTTCTTTAACACATAGCTTCCACCTCAGAAGCAATGAGGAGCTCCGCCAAATTAAACAAAACAAAATTTCCACCTGAACCAGCAAAGATTTACTAGCAGCCCTCAACTCAGCCACAACAGGGCCTGGCCTCCTTCCTTCTGCCAGTTTTTCTAGTTCATTCTGTATATATGGGTTGTTTGTTTTTTTTTTTTCCAAAGCTGGGGATGCAAACATTACCACTGCTGACCCCATCATGTTGTTCCATCTTGGCACAGTCTCATCAGCATGCCTTAACTCATGATACAGTAAAAGTCCCTTCATTACCAATATTTGCCCCAAAGCCAGCATCTTCTAGAAGAAGACAAAATTCTGGCAGGTGGGGTGAAATCAGAATTGCTGAATTCGTGCTGCTGATTTCACCTGAGCCTAATTTTTTACCGACCATCTTTACAGGAGCATTATACAACACTGGGTAAGGTTTAAAAATTGCTCATTTCATGGTCTGTAATGAAAAACTTCTATCTTCGCTTCATGCGGTGCACCTAATAAACTGCTGAAGAAAACTGCTGAAATATTAGCGCTATTAAGTTGTCTCCATATTTAAGAGTAAACATTGCAGTAGTTTGTGGGTTTTTTGTTTTTTTTTTGACTCAAATGCAAAACTTTCCAGTTGTTGAGTTTGTAGTGACATTTTCAATGCTCCTGAAACTCTATGAGATGAACCTGTGAATTTGAAGTAGTGCCAATCAATACGATTTGAGGAATATTATATTAAAACTTACATTTCAAGCCCATCATCCTCACAGAGCTGACACTTTGCACACACTCAGTCATCATCTTACTTATCATTTTCCTACTGTGTGAAAGAACTCCTCATCTTGTTTTGGCTGTGGACTATCCAAGCATACTATTAAACCTCTCACTTAATAAGATAAGCAGTTTCTAATGGGATTTAGAACTCTAGGTGCAATGCAGTCAACATCAAGCATCGGCATAAATTTCTTGCAGTAAAAGTGTTAGAAGGGGAGAAAGGGGTTGCTTGCTTGTCTTTAGAGCAGCCATAGCTCCTTATAACAAAGGTTCTACACTCAGGAATATGCTGGTAATTAACTTGGGATGCTGTTAAAGAACCCTACTGAACTGAAATGCAGTTGATTTCTTTCAGATTATCTGGCTGCTAAAAACCTGGATGTTCAGTTTCTCATCTGTTATACAATTGATTCTTTATTCTGAGTCATTTGGTAACCTCTAAAAATAGTTCACTCTTCTTGAATTAGCAGCACAATGTTATAGATCATGTAGACAGAAAAGCCTCTCTCTTTCCTGCTGCATAGCCAAAGTGCTACAGGGCTCCAGCATCAGAAAGTCATTGCAGTGTATCATAACTCTAACAGATGTTACTGCAGGCCGCTTTGAGAGCTAGAAGGAAAATAAAAGAAGGAAAAGGAATGGATTACAGGCTAAAACAATTCCTTGGCTCCACAGCTAAACACAGTGTGCATGAGGGTGGGCTGTGAGTTAAAAACTATGTTTATTGCAGCTTACTGCTGGGGCACAGTAACTAATTTTTCAGTTCAGTACTCAGCTGCTTTAATTCACCTGAAGCAGACGGTGATACCATTCTGAGCAACAGAGGAACTGTCTGCTGTGCAAACAAACCCCTGCCTCTGACAGAATCAAAACTGCAAGTTCCAGATCTCCCAGTGATGTCCAGCAGATTCAAGTCCCAGGAACAGACGAATACACTCATTTGTTGTGCTGTGGTACTACTAAACTATTATCCAATATTCAGCGGTAGATGTTTTTTCTAGGATTATTCCCTCAGGTAAATTAGATTATCTTTTGTTTTGCTTTTTTAGCTACGTGATACGTCTCAAGAGAATTATTTTTCAGTAAAAACATCTGAAATCAACTCAGCAAGCTGGTGAAATGAGAAACAGCAGCTGGGAAAATTGGAGAAGTCCAAGTAAAAGTACGTTTTAAAACATAATTTAATCAAAGGCAGACAAGATCAGTCATGAAGTTAGAAAAGACTTTCAAATGAATGACAAGCCACTGTTAACCAGCCAAGCTTTGCTGAGAAAACAAACCAATTTGTCTGGAAACAAAGAAGAGAAACGTGCTGGAATGTCATGCGTACAATATAATAACAATCACTGCAATTAATGCACGAAAAAAGAAAACAAATTAATATATTTTTTTGGTTGCAGTTTGTGGAAAACCCTGGCATTTTCCACATAATGCTCGATAAAAAGAAACATTTAGTAACTCTTATCTCAGATTCCCCTTTCTCTTATTGTAGGGGGTCATAATATTCATGAGATGTAATGCAGACTGTAACTCATTGTTGAGAAGGCAAATAGGTTCGTTTTCCTTATCCATTTCAGGCCTTTCTATTTGTTGCTATTATTTGAAAATCAGTTGCCATGGGAAAGTTTTCTCGCCCTACCCTGTCTGCTCGTTTTTGCAAAGCGCTAGGAACATTAATCTCCTTTTTCCTCCTTTGTTGTTCTGTCAGAAGAGACTTCAATGGAAGAAAGCTTAGTCCATTTCTACCTTTACACTGGGAGAGCCTTCTCAGTGGGGCTGGAAGAAAGGATTGCTTTATCCAAACTCTCCTTGAGAATTATAACATAGTCAAACCTCCTCTACTGTCTGGACTGGGAGCGTTACCTGGATGAAGCTCCTCTGCAATAAGCTGCCTTTTGCTACAAGGCTACCAGCTCAGGAAGATTAAAGGACTGCAGAAGTGAAGGAAGTTATAGTGGTCTTCTTGTCCAGCACCTTCTATGGACAGCTAGTAACTTTAGTCCATACAGCACGCTAAAGCCTAGTGTCAGGAACAGTTACAACTGAGAAATTTGTTCTTCCTCTAGGTAGAAACTCACTAAAATAATGCGTTTCCTGAGATCTGCTGTACCACAGTTAGGGAAAAATGTTTTTTCTTGAGTTTAATGCGGCTACATTTCCTATAAAGGAAGGGGCATTTGGGAGACAGACACACGTACAAAAACTTAGAATTCACCACAGTAGATCTGACCCTACTAGGATAATGAAATGAACTAAAGGAAACACACAAATAACTGTTTTCTAGCACCAAACCTCTGATGTTCTTCCACAAAAGTAACTGAGATCCAAGTTCATGAAGTCTGCTAATAGCTGATAGGACTTCAATATCATGTAGAAGAGGACTTCTTTCCTAACGTTCAGTGTTCCCATTTATATATCCCATAGGTGCTGCAATACAGAAGTTCCTCATCTACCTGTTTGCAGCCATTTATTGCTTTATAGACTTCTGTGTCTCCACTAAGTCTTTTTATTTATAAAGTAAACGAGTTTTTCACTTCATATGAGAGCTTTTCTGCGCCTTTATTCATCATTGTCATTCCTTCCCCAAACTCCCACTAATCCCACAGAATCCTCTAAAATAGCGACCTGTTCTATTCCAGGGGAAAGCATAATTCTGAACTGGTAATAACATGTCAACAATTATTTTTATTGTTCCAAATTGCATTCCTAACGAACCCTAATTCATCGCATTCCTAATTAATAACCATAGATGCACACTGCCAATAAGCCTGCATTCGTACATCCATTTTACCATCCTACTACTGTTAATAAACAAATCCTATGAGGACTGGCTAGCAAACAAAAGACCTTTTATGAAAGATTGCCAAAGATTTCAACAGCCCACTTCAAAACAAAGCTCTCAAATATTTGAAGGTAGAAATACGAGACAAAGGTTGTGCACAAACCACGCAGACACAAAAGCCTCAACTCTCTCCCTAGGCTCTCCCCAGTCTCCCCATGATCGTGAGGCCACCAGTAGCTCAGACGTAGATCCTAACCGGAATCCAGGCAAGCTGTCAAACTCCACTTCCCTGCTTTCTGGGATAAAGACGAATAGATCACTGACATGCAATTTTCCTTTTTGAAGAACAGTTTCAAGAGCTTTTCTCAGGCTTTCTAATACTTTATTATGAGGCTTATATTTTATTTTCAACCCAAATATTTCAATCCAATGCTTTCTTTGTCCACATATCTGTATATATACATTAATATTGAATATAGAGAATTTGGTAATGCAGTAAGAACTGGGTATGACCTTCCTACAAAACACAATTTTAAGATAAACGGCCTAAATGGCCTTTTGCTTAGACAGTTTACTTCGGGCAATTAGAAACCAGTGAAATTTGTAACGATATAAAGCCAATACCATTTCTAATAACCTGATTGTTTGCTAAGTATTCTTTGTTATATTTTCACATTACAGTTTTCTGCATTTTTCACTTCCTTTGTTTCATTCTGTGAGGCAAAAGATGAAAGGAAAATGAACTTGCAGTACAGACTGAGCTCGAGTGAAGCAGTTGATTGTCTCTGGAGAGAGTTTTTGTGAAAACTCTGGTAGTTTTCAGTTGTTTCATGAAAACTAATTATTGTTAAATGGCATTTAAAAATCTTGTGTGTATAATCATGGTGTATGTATTACACAATCTTCATTTAAGGTTGGAGGAACATGTAAAACAACTTAGGAAAAAGACCTGGTGTGAATCTATGTGCCTTTTTTTTTTTTTATACTTTTTTACAATTTACTGAAAGATATTCTTCACCAAATGCAGTAATACGAATAGCAACTCAGTTGAGTGCACATGGAAGTATCTGAAGGCTACAATCTCCCCTAAAGAAATGTGTAGAGAGTATTTCACTCAACCTTTTGTGGTTTTAGATGAAGAAGGCATCTTCTGTTTACTTTCGGATAGTCAAACCTTTTGGCTCAAGGCCACATTGTGAGGCTTACACATACATATGTGTGTGAATATATACACCCAAACACATGCACAAATGCAAGT